CATGGGGAGTGCAAACGGAGTGTGAGGTATGCAGTACGCAAACCAAAAGAACATAGTAATACCGGATTCACATCTGTTAACATGCTTTAACCCTTCAGGCAGCAGAGGTTTGGGTAGCTGTTCCGTGTTGTTTGGAGCATAATGGTCGGTTTGAGGGAACCTGTATACTTTGTTTGGGTGGTTTCTTGATGATATGTTTCGCATCCCTAAACCCAAACTGGTGTCCCATAATGTTGACAGGCTCAGATAGAAATGGGAAGCATCAAGTCTTGTTTGGCCCACGAAAGGCCAGCTACTATGGTGATACCGTTACTACGACGATTAAGTCTTGTGCCTTACCCCGGTTGCAATTTGTCCGTTTTGCCTCTCAAATGTGCAATTACACTTAGCCACTTAGCTCTTCAAACTGTTGATTTGCATGAACGGCAGGAATCATGGTATTCCCATGGCAGGCACTTGGCCTACGGCAGCCTGGGGGTCCGCCTAAGGGGATGGCCTCGTCCCGGCGGACTCGGAACTGGCCCTGTCATCCGGTGTCAATCAGCAAAACACATGAGGAGTGAGTGCCAGTACCCCCCCCGTTAGTGGTCCACCATGGTCAACCCATGAATCAATGATGGCTAAGGCTAATGGTACAAATTAAATAGTAAATTAACTGGAAGAAGCACAGAAGTCTCCTCCAGGGTGTCTATAAAACTATGGGTGTTTGTTCAGGAGTTCGGAGATTCAAGAAGCAGAACACATGTCAATGTCAACCCACAGACAATCACAGATATCATGCAGGCTAGCACTGGCATCGGGGTTCTTACGTATTTAACGTGTATCTCTAAACGCATCTTGGAAGGAGGTGCTTCAATATTCCTGATCATTGCTATTCGCATTGAAAACCTCCCGATCTTGGCAGGGCTCGCTGTATAGATCTCTCCTGCTCTCCGTTTCTGTGTACTTTTTTGGGATACCAGAAACGGAATGGAAGCAGATGACAATGAATTGCCAACGTTCAACGTTTATCTTTGGCCCGGTCGTGATGTCAATGACCCGTTGAACACTCGACGGAAATGACAATGACAATCCTGTGATCATTTTGATAGGATTTGATAGGACTTGCGGGACAATCCAAAAACAGCTGAACTCATGTCATGTAGGAATATTTGGGGACCGGGAGTGTTCCATTTCAATTCTACTTTGAGACTCACTGCAACACTAGCTGCTTGAATGCATACACTCCGACTCACCAACATGGAAGTGGAAACCCTCCGCTTTGTACACGAAAGTTGTCTTCCAAAGGACCCTCTTCCTCTTCCACTTCCGTGTTAGTACTTCAGAGTGTACCTCAAGAGTTTTCAGATGTTTTCAGTGAAGACGACGGTTTTGTGTCGGCATCCAGGCTGGCTTTGTGCACACCTTGCGCACATGCCAGAGGTTCAGTGAACACACTCTGACAATTGTATTCAGTTACACTCAGTTCCCAGGTCGAAAATGGTGATGGAACGGCAAGGTGGCAAGTCCAGGAAGATGTAGGTGTTTGAACAAAATGGTTTTCACACTTGACTGCGGAAAGCGCACAGCGGCAAAGCGGCGGACGAGCGGCGGACGACAGCTGCTGGGGCAGAGTACCAAGTAGGTTTGTGGGAGGTATCATGAATCACCATGGAAGCAAACAAAAGAGATTGGAACAGCGTGGGCAAAGGTTTAAAACTGTTGCAGGTACGTGAGTCGAGCGTCCTCAACTCATATCACGGGAAACGTGCAGCGTCTTCGTTGGTCGCTGACTGCACGAATCCCCAGCGACCCCCTGCATTCAAAACTCTTAGTTACAAAGGTGGAACCCTTAGGTACAGGGGGTGACACACACAAACCGCCGATTCCGGCGCAAGTGTGTAGAACGTTGAAGGTGGAACTTTGTACATAAAGCGGCAATATTGGCGCTGTGAAAAACTAATAGCCACCTAAAAAGCCTTAGAAAGACAGACAAAGCAAACAAAACAAAAGCAGACTAAGAGGGCAAGAAAGAAAGATAGGGGTAGTTACGAGGCCCACTTAGTTAAATGAAAGTAGAGCGCGAGCGAGACATTGGTCTTAAACCGCCCGGGTAGCTAGCAATAGGCTAGGAGAAACAGAAGGAAAGGCACCAACACACAAGAAGTAGCGGGTGGGGTAGCAACGGAGGCCCAGGGGTAGGGAGGGGAAAAATGCACGATTAATTCGTCCGGCCTGTGAATACTTAGCAGCACATGCACATGTGAATACTTAGCCGTTGCAAACGCTGCAACACTGTCAGTTCCCGTGGTGAGGCCCGGCAGCCGTTGTGGCAGTTAATTCGGTGGTTGTGGCGGTGACTTCCAGTGGAGTTCCTGTGAAAAGTGGTGAGGTCAGTTAGTGCTTGCACGATGAGACAGCGCCCCAATGACGGGGATCACACTCAGCACTCGAGTGGAACGGCTGAGCGAAACACACTCTGACAATTGTATTCAGTTACACTCAGTTCCCAGGTCGAAAATGGTGATGGAACGGCAAGGTGGCAAGTCCAGGAAGATGTAGGTGTTTGAACAAAATGGTTTTCACACTTGACTGCGGAAAGCGCACAGCGGCAAAGCGGCGGACGAGCGGCGGACGACAGCTGCTGGGGCAGAGTAGGTTTGTGGGAGGTATCATGAATCACCATGGAAGCAAACAAAAGAGATTGGAACAGCGTGGGCAAAGGTTTAAGACTGTTGCAGGTACGTGAGTCGAGCGTCCTCAACTCATATCACGGGAAACGTGCAGCGTCTTCGTTGGTCGCTGACTGCACGAATCCCCAGCGACCCCCTGCATTCAAAACTCTTAGTTACAAAGGTGGAACCCTTAGGTACAGGGGGCGACACACACACCACCTAGTACACCGCCTTTGTTATAAAGACAAAGGCTTTTGGATTTGCTGCGACATGTTGAACATGTTTGTCGTCCTTGTCAGGGTCTTGAAGCTATAGCTAATTCCAGTTCCAGTATGTTCCTACTAGGAACAAGAAGCTCCTAAGGGCTCCTGGCATCTCTACTAGGAGCGATCGGACGCTACTAGGGGCTCCTGGCCGTACTAGTAACAAGAAGCTATTAGCTTATTGTTTCTAATAGCTTCTTGTTACTACTAGTAAGGCACCTGTTACTACTAGCGTGGCACTTGTTCCTACTAGGAACTTTTTCGCAAGAGTTCAAACGACCTCACGGCCCGGACACCGCTGCGCGACGCGCCTGCGCGCGTGGTGCAGAACGGTCGCAGTGCCCCTCGGCGTCGGCAGAATGGACCGGTGCCGTTGGGTGGGACCGGGTGGAGGCCCCCGCGTTCGGAGGGAGGACGCCCAGTTCGGTGTGATGGAGTCAAAGACACCAGTGGCTGGTGTGACCGGTTGAAACATGATGACGTCACAATATGAGACATATGACGTCACAATACAAGTTCATCCACGGTTCTGAAAGAAGGTAGATTTAAAGATAGGTGTTCCACTAGACAACTAATAGGGGTTCCCTTTTTTTGTGACCCCAACAAATATGGCACTCACATCAAGTTTTGAAAAGAAATGAAACAGATGTATGTCCAGCTACAGATCACCAATTCTGTCAGTGCAACTAAAGCACCTGATTGAGGAGTTTCGCTGTCTCTTTGCTTGATCCGTAGTCGTAAACTTCTGAAGACATTTGCGATGCAAAACTATTGCAACAGTGAGATAGATTCAGTTTGTTTAGACACCACCACAACAGATCAGCTGGACAAATACCAAGTTGAATTACAACCATTCTACTCCAAGCCATTCCCCAGCCACACTAGAGAATATCGATCTACTTCTTGGTGGAGTAAGCCAAGATGTGTTTTAGTTCAATTCCTTATCCCCTCCTTCTCATGGTGTGGCTCGTTCATCCTATATAAATGACCAGTTACAGTGTTACAGGCTCAAGCCTCATAATTACTTTAAAGAACTTGTTTGGTTCGCCGAAAGTCCATTTGGGTTTCCTCATCATCACACGTTTTGGGCAATTTTCTGGGAATGAGCACTGGTGGAACAGCTAAAGGGAGCTCACATTTCTAATGGCACGTCAGTTGGAAAAAAAAGGTCACCTTGGTGAAAGTTTGCTGTAAACCTGTCTCTCACAGAACCATCAAGTCAACTTTGGCTTCATCAAACTGCTTGAGCCATGGCCAAATGCTCTCTCCACAGGTAGGTTCTGCATTTCGCTGGGTTTGTGATGGCTGAAAGCTGGGCAGCTAGGCAACGCTGGATCGCGAAGACTTTGACAACAAAAGGGATTTGTCGCCAAAAGGACTGGCGCAAGAGAAGGGGTGTGCCATCTACTCCTTATCCTTTGCGTAAATTATCCAGCTTCGCAAATCAGAGGAGTCGATGAAGGCTGCCAACAAAATACAAGCATCAAGAATAGGGTGGTTGAGATGTTTTTATCGTTTACACCAACATTTTGTGACCAATGTGTCCAATTGTCATTGCAAGAGATCTATTCTGCGGCCTTGGCCACCATGGCTGTCACGGACCGAAAGAAGTAGCGAGCAGAGTTCACTTCTGAGATGCAAATGTTTGAATGCTCTGAGTTGGTGTGTCTAAACAGGGGATGCCCGAAGGACACCGTCTGAGTGCCGACTAGGGAGTGCCGACGGTCATCACTCACTAGAAATTAGACCACATGGTCTTGGTCACTTAAAGGAATGCTTTTTGGGAAGCAGAGCCATATTTCAGTGAATGGGTCATGCGTCTGAACGGGTCTCCTCTGTGGATCACACAAGTGTACCGGAGCTGTTGCATAGCTCGGCCCGTTGTGGGCTCCCGGCGGTTTCCAGCTGGAAAATCGTTGCCAATCTTTGTGGCGTCACTCCCACAATGAGCTTTTGGTATGTCATGTGTCCAACAGTGACATCATTATGTCCAATATGATGTCCACTCCCCCCCTAGCGGATGGCACGGCCTTCCTTTAGACGCGCCTGGTTTGCCCATTTGTAGATGCTGGATGTTCGGTAGGCAGCATATGCAGATGTGCCTGTGAAGTACCTAAAGCCTTGGCCTTAGTTTTCACATGTTTTCACACTTCTCTTGATCATCGACATGGGGTTTGAGCAGCTTGTGTCACAGAAATTTGTTTTGCAGAGGCACTGATTCGTGCCGATCATGCATTTAACGCTTCAATGTCCAGGGCATCATGTTCATACCATTTGTTCACGAAGAGCACAACACGGTTCAGCGCGGCTGTGCTTTTACACCGATGCCCGGTGAGGCATGATGTTCTTGCCGATGACTTTCTTCAAGTGCTTGGCAATCGCATCATGGATGTGGGAAGGCAGGCGGCGGGTGAAGGACCAGACTAAGCCAGGCGGCCAGAGTGCAGTGCTGAGCAGGCTTATATGATTACAATGGTGCATGGGTGGGACCAAGTAAGACATGTGATTTTGTTTGGTTCGCACAATGAGCTTGCCCCAGGTTCATCCCCAGAAGTTTCATATCGTCCCTCACCGGAGTTCAGCCTAGAACTTTTCAAGCTGAGGCCTCAGGTTCAACGTCCGATTTTTTTTGCTTCTTGAGATTAAGAATATTTAACCATGCACAGCACGTGACCCTTCCGATGTAAAGAAAGAACCTGAAAGAACGGTCTATTGGTATTCAGCATTGTAATTATACAATAAGTACTGTATTCCATATTGTAATTATACAATAAGTATTGTAATTATATATTCCATATGGATGATATGGTCTTTGGATGTCTTGTGACCACTTTGCGCATCGGACCAGACACGTCTTCCTCGACAGGCCGACCTGCATTCTGGGGATGCATCTCTGCGGGCGATTGCTGGGATCCTGAGACCGTTGTCCGTGCGTTTTGTTTGAAAAACATCGAGACGGGAGATGCCTTTTGACATCCAATATATAGACGCGACCCATGGGACTGCTATAGGACTGCCGATCAGGCCAGGGGTGGTGCCAGGGGGGTCAATGTAGGCATATATGGCATACATGGAGTGCCTGGGATAAATTTATATATTGATCGAGATACATCAAGTATATCATAATTGAAGGGTGTGGGCGGTACTTGCTCCCTTTGAGTGTTGAGCAAGAAATGTCTCCCATGACCCATGACAACCGAATGTGTTCGTTGTTCTCCATCATCTTGGGCGTGTGTTCTCCTGTAGCACCTTCTCAGATACCTGTACCCTACAAATATCATCAAATATCCAATCCCCGGTGTACCAAAGCTACAGGTGATCACGAGATATTTCGGGTGGTGCTGGATCGGTAGTAAAAGCGGTTGGGGAAGAGGTTGCCACTGATGTTGAAGAGACAAAGGGCCCCCCCATCGCAGACTAGGTGACTAGGTGCCCATATAGTACTTTTGTATACTTTTGTATAATATCACGCTATCGTTCTCCAATGGTACTGGTAGTTTAGTAATGTCCAGTGTGTTTTGTATGTATTGATTTGTTTTTGAAAGCACTGCCGCTGCCAAGAATCTTGGGAGTTAATCGACTAGACAATTGCATGCTTGATGTTCAACTGGTCCCATCAAATCATTTGTAGACTTCTATCCAGGGGAGTCACTTGTGTTTGTCCATGAACAGAGGCATCGGAGGCATTCTCTTCCGAGTCCTCCGCTTGGAAGGGCTCCGGGTCAACGTGTTTTGGACACCACAGGAGCCTGCAAGCCATCGCGGCCTTTCAAGAGATCCGCTTGGTAAGGCACACCGTTGGCCACTAGCCTGCCACGCCCAAGATAGGTATCTAGGATGATACATATATGATACCTATTCATATATAGGTATTCATACATATATTATACATATATGATACAATATAGGTATTCATATATATATATATATTCGGATGGTACACCTGTGATCGTACCTTGACACCTGACGACCTTATTCCACGGTAGGTGAGTTCATCGAATTTGAGGAGAGGGCCGCTACTAGGTCCCTCAACTGTTTTGTGGTTCAACTACCATTTGGCCAATGTCCAACCAATCAGAATTACACGATTGAGTGCAGGAAAGAAATAGGGAGACTTCAGAACCTATTTGAAGCCATTATTTTCGAATAGTTCTGTTGTTCTGGGCGTTTCAAAGGCGAAATCAGACAGAACAAAGAAAACATTCTGTAGGGATCACTTGTCTCTTTCTGATTTGAAAGACACCCAGCGGCTACTTTCAACATCTTTCAACTAACCTTTTCAGGAACAAAGATGCCAAGCTCTTCTCAGGGTGGGCACCACCCACCCGGTGAAGCCCCTTTTTGACAGACGATGGAGATCAGCGAATTGGTTCGTTCTTGTTTGCTTCTTCCTTCCGAACGTGCCACAACAAGAAAGCAACCCAGTTTTTCACACCGCTATCAACATACCCGCCATGTAAAACATCCAACAGTCAAGTGACGGTCCAATCTCTTCCTATCTCTCACCACAGTCATATGAGCTTCAAAAGGCCCATCAGAGCTCTCTCTCTCTCTCTCTCTCCCTCTCACACTCTTTCTCTCCGCTCTCCGAAACTGCTTGAACCGTACCCCGAGTTCCCAGCGACACCGGACCCGACCCCACCGATGTTCACCGACCGACCACGACCCCGCCAGGTCTTTGGTCTTGACGCCCTGCTGCCTACCACACGTCACCCAGGCGCCTCAGGAGACCGGGTTTCGACCCGACCCGGAAATGGGCGTAACGCTGCGGTGGGCAATGCGGCCATGACGAATTTGGAAGGGATTCTACTGTTGCTAGATTTGCTAGGTCCTATGTTGGCGGAGGGTATGGAAGATGTTAAACAGGACGTTCTAACTACTGTACTTTGATCTTCAATCACACTGCAATTGACATTGAGCTTTGGGATGCTTCTCATGCACCTTGACACAAGTCCGTTGCTAGTGTTACTACCACTGTGAGTTGCAGGTGCTTGTTGAAGGCATCCGTTGAAGGCGTGAAACACTCCAAAGTTCGTAAGACAATTTGCTTCTGACATGAACTTGAACAGAACCTTTGATTCAATCGCGTCACACCAATCCAAGTGGAGCTTCTGAGTTCAGATTAAGGGGCTGATAGAAATATCCAAGCATCATCCGTATTGAATCTTTTTGATAATCTTCAACTGCAAAAACATGCCGAATATGATCGTTTTGGGCATTTTTAGGCTGAGCATCTCCAGGAGCTCCAAGGCATCTATGGCTGTGGTCTTTCTGATCCAGAGCAATTCGACCTTTGGGTCGAAGCCTAAGGAAGGCTTCCATCTGACGATGACTTCGGGGCGGTGTCCGTGAGACCTCCAAACGCGGTGATCGTGAGACCCTGAGGGCTGCACGATCTGCACAGCACCAGCACCTCCACGAAGTGTGACACCCAACGTGGGTGCCCTTTTTCTGCACGCGTTGTGGCATGCCGGGAAACCGGTCCAAAGTAAACGACATGTGTGTTGCGCACCTTTCCAACAGGTTTGTTTTCATCTTTGTTTTTTTTGTTTTCGTTTTGAAGCGCTATTGACACCGACCATTGTTGTCCAAGTTTTGACCCGATATGACAAGATATTGTCTGGCACCTTTTGTCCTGAACGTGTACCATACTAGTTATATATCAAAAAATAGGTGACCCATCAACTGTTCATTTGATGTGGGGAAGACATCGATGGTATTTGGTCTCCACGTTTGGAGACCACAGACGAGAGTGCTCATAATATGTAGTAGGCTCTCGCCCGGCTCTCGCCCTGCAGACTCGCGGTCCACAAACGGCGCACAGTTGGTGTTTTTTTTGAGGCTGAGTATTTGGAGAAGTGCCTGAAGCAAACAGGTGCCGAGGTCACAAGGAGGGACGTGTTGCGCAAAATGTTGGCCTAGCCACGAGTTTGTTCGGGCTGTTTTGAGACGGTACAATCATCCGTTTGGAAGAGATGATGTCAGGGGAAGGCTTTGGCAAGTCAACTAGATGAACTGCAGATACCCTTGGCCAAGTTGAACTGAAAACGGCGATGTCGATGAACTTGATGCACCATTCATTGACTCAGTGGACTGGATGAAAGCACCGAACTGGATGTCACCAACAAGAAAGTTTAAATCATGTTCATCCGAATGAGGTGACCTGCACTGAACCATCACTGGTCACAAAGGATTCTAATCATGTTACAGTCTCAGTACATATGATATACATGCGTTATGCCGTTTCTAGATTATCCCGCCTTTGCCCAGATCCCTAAATGGGCTCCCCAAAAGCAAATGTTTCATGTGGGAGTAGACTCTCATGTTGGACCAGCAATTCGATGGCGTTGTTCTTTCAGGGGGACATGTATTCACATGTTGTTGGCTGCAGATGGTCGATCAATGCAGCACTGCATGCCCTGCCTGCTTGCTCCGAGCACCGTGACTTCCAGCAGCTTCGGCTCAAGTCCTGCAGCGCAGCAGCAGACATGCCACGGTCAAACACCATGCATAATGCTTGTCCAAGCAGTGAGGAGGGCGACGCGGAAATGCCACGATGGCTTTTAGAACCATGAAATCATGTAAAAATACAAGCAAGTGATTCTTGGGTTCGCCCATCTTCCCAATTGTCTCACCATCGAAATCCCAATAGAAAGGTTTGGCTGGTAACCCTTCGTTTGACTTCCTGAAACTGTTGGTGTTCCCTGTTTGAGGGCCCATGATCAGCCGATCACCCATGCAGTCCTGGGTGAGCCACGGAGCAAAGGACACTCAGATCGATCAGTCACCATCACTCCATCACCAACACCCATCGCGCTGAAGGCTTCGCGGGAAAAAAACGACGAAGATCATGACCGCTTCGCATTGGCTTCGCTGCTTCTTTCGGACCGAACTTCGACAGTTCGGTCACAACGGGGGATCCATTCACCTTCAACAAGCGCAACGGCCCAGACACCACGGACGGGACGGACGGGGGACTGATGGGGACTCCATCACTGGTGGTTCTTGGAAGTTCCTTTAAGAGACATCCTTTGGGACTCCCCGGGCCTCGACCCATCGCACATCTTCCCGGTCCGGTGTGCTTCGGCCATGTGGCGAACTTCGGTGGTGCTGGCCTTGGCTGCGCTGGCTAAGGCGCCGTAGTTGAGTGGGTGTCATCTTTGGGGCGTCATGATCCACAGAGGGGAAGAAACGGCAAAATCCTGCAGAATTAGATTGATGGGCTTGGTGGCGTATAATGTTCAGTGCAGTATGTGCCCACCAACTATATAGTTCAAAGCACCTGGGGCTTGTGTTGTTTGCCGTTTGCAGGTAGTGGAGGGTGACTTTGGATGACAAGTTTGGATGTCGATCAATTTGAACACAAGTGCCCAAGCTAGCAGCTTCCATCTCTGGAGCCGAGCTGGCAGCCAAGCCTGCGCCGCATCTGCCTGCCTGCGCCCCGATCAGGTCCGTGCCCATGAGGAGCTCCCCGAGGAGTGGTATGAGGTCTACGCAGCAGCCAGGCGGTCGGCGGACGGGATGAGCTCGGACTGAGACGGTTCGGTGGAGCTCTCCCTGCTGGGGAGGGAGCAACATTTGCAGAAGATCCTGGAGTTGAGATTGACCTGTCAGACATGCATGATGACATCGAATTGACTGCTGGCCGGATGACAAAACATGTATCAGGGCAGGAGGGGTGCCACACTCCAAGTCATTTGTTTGTGAACCGGCACCCTCCCGGATTGATTCCGTTCGTCGCACGCATCGCAGTGGCTTTCGGGTTTGTGCGTCGTTCGGAGTTCCGCGTTGGCCGGAGTGGGCCGGCAAGGCAACACGGGTGGCTCGTTTGGGAGCAACGTGGAACACGTCCGCAACTGCAGCCATTGGACCTTCAACTGCGCCGAGCCAGCCTCGCCAAGCCCAATTACAGCCATGGCCAAGTCCGTTTTGGAAGCCCTGAAGGCCACCGGTGCCAGCGATTTGCAAGCGGCCATCGATGCCGTCTCGGCCAACATGTTCAAGATCAAGGACGACATGGCCAAGATGCATGTTCAATCAATTTCAAGATCAAAGAATTGAGAAGTATTGTTCATCAAGTGTTTCTCGCATCATTGAGAATATTCTCCCCAATAAAAAAGTAAGGATGCGATGCTATACATCCCTTCCAAAGTTTCATCCCATCCCCAGCAAGCGACATGAACAATCTCCAAAAAAAAGACCACCACCGACGCAGTGCAAGATAGTGCTCTATGGCTCGCCAACCAATGTCTCGCCAACCAATGTAATCCATTCCTAAAGCAGCCAAACAACAAATACCTCCCAAATCCTCCGGCCGGTGGGGCGGCAGGGTGGGGTCCTGATGGGGCGAGCTGGATGCCGGAAGGAGCTGAAAGGTCGTGAGATCCTGGACAGTCGTGGCAACCCCACCGTGGAGGCCGATCGATAGACGTCGAGGGCTTTGGGAGATGACCAAGTGGTCGGTCCCAAAGGTGTGTTTGGGAGCTTTTGTTTGCCATGCCTCTAGATCTTCCTACATCTATCAGTGAACCAAGTAAATATTAAACAAAAGACATAAGGAGATATGTGGAAGAGGTTCAATCCAAATGTGGGGATGTTTATTAACCAACAGGTATATATATACATTGTTTTTTCCCATTACCTGTAACAGTCTTAGAGATACCGGCCTTTACTACACGAACCGTCATCTATACTGTTACTGGGTAATGGATAGTGATGGGATGTACCATGGAGATATCTAATGAGTATCTAATGAATAGTTATTTCGATATCTTTCTCTAATATAATCTAATATATGTCCCAGACACGCGTTCATATGCCGCCCCATTGACCCCCCTGGCACCACCCCTGGCCTTTTCTCGGCAGTCCTATGGCAGTCCCATTAGTCGTGTCTGGGTGTTTTTGTTTAAAGTCAAAAAATCGGAACTTCCGACTCCTCCCAGGTGGACCTCGTCACCGAGGGCGGCATCACTGTGACCGCCGCGGTGCCCTCGGGCGCCTCCACCGGCGTCCATGAGGCGGCGGTACGCGTTGTGGGGTCATCCAACGTCATGCAAAATAGAAGTCATAATGAATTGCAATACATGACATTGGATGTGGTGCTGTATTGCATCATATTTCTATTGCATCATTGGATGTGGTTCTGTAGATGAGCTGGCCACAATGATGTTCAAAGAAGTTCACCTCTGAGAGGATTTTTCTCACTGGCTCTTTTGGCCTTGCACGTCTGGGTCAATCGGAGGCCTCCTCTTTCGATATGTCATTTGGCTTCGTGTTTGGCTGCCCACCCAAGTGCTCCAACGGACTCCAGCGGTCTAAGCGACCCTCCACCCAGGCCTGCGAGCTCCGCGATGGCGACAAGGGCCGTTACCTGGGCAAGGGCGTCATGAAGGCGGGCGGAGGACGGTCGATCGGGTCAAGGAGGACGGGCTGTTTGGGTTTGGGTGAAGTTGATCTCTATTACAGACCACAATGTGCACATCATACTGGATTTGGACATGTCCAACTATGCACCTGCGCGTCTTTCTTAACAGCTCGCTGTGCAAGACGGCCTGTTCAAAACGTCGGGGGCGAGGCCGTGGAGTCGGTGAACACCGTGCTGAACGCCTCGCTGAAGGGCTTCGATGTCTCCAAGCAGAAGGAGAAGACACGTCACGAGCGAAATCGAGTCACGAGCGAAACCGCTTCCGTCGGACATGAAGCATAAAGCCGTGTTTCTTGGAGCCGAAATGAAGCCAGAGGTTAGCCCATGTTCATCCATGTTCAACCATTGGACACCTGCTTTGTTCGAAAGTGAATGAACAGGATGATGTTTTGGTGGGTTGGTCTACTTCAGCTGACCCTGTCATGAAACAACATCAACATGTTACCTACGATCATCCGAAGGGGTACTACCCTACACTACTAAGACCTCCATTGGGCACCCGTTGGATGACCCTGGACGTGTCGTCCACATGTCTCGGACGCGCCCCCTATCGGCCATTTGAACCCCAGGCCATCGACTCGTCCAGCTTCAAACGCCAGCTGAAAGTGTTTGATCAGAAGTTTTTAAATAAGATTGACGACGTTCTTTACATAAGAAAGACTGGTTTACGCCAGCTTCAAACGCCAGCTTTTACAGAAGATTGACTACGTTCACGTGACGTGGGGGACATGATTGGTTGTTGATCTTGTGAATGAAGGGTCGGTGGTGATGCCATGTTCTACCCGGACCCAGTATTATATAGTTTTACCAATTCTGAGCCATGTTCTTTTGCAAACACCGTGTGAATCAAAAGCCGCCAACCAGCCAGTGTCAAACAGACCATCATTGATCAATGATCTTGACCGCAATCACTTTCAGATATTTTCAGCATTATAGTTATTATTATCACTTTCTTTGTTTGTCAATGTCTTCCAGTATTGGCCCGCTTCACACATTATGTGTACGCCCAGTGATCATTCGTGCCCATGTCATTGTCCCGCCTCAATCGAAAAAACATCAAATTCTCTTCCTGCTGTGTGGGGCCCCTGAGAAAACAGATCAAAACATACTCGCCCTGGGAACAGGAGTTGGATGATAAGATGATCGCCCTGGACGGCACTCCCAACAAGAGCAAGTTGGGCGCTAACGCCATCCTCGGCGTCTCCATGGCCGCGGCCAAGGCCGCGGCCCAGGCGCGAGGCGTGGCGAGTCCGGTGGAGGTGATTGGACATAGGATGGATGGGCCTAATTGAGAGAACATCATGCATACATTTGCCATGGCCACAGCTAGAAGGGGCATATAGTTGATCATTAGCTGGTGTTTCAAGGCCGAGGAGCCGGTGTTTAGAGGTGCTGCTTTTGCGGCCCAGAAGAGTCCTTTTCCCATATGAAAAGCGCTTATGAAGGACGGAAGTGACGATGGATTCT